CAAAGGTGCACCTTTGGCCATCCTGTCACGTAGACACTATGTGTGTTTGTCATTTTACATCTAGCTGTTGGGACTTTCATGATTGGGGTTGGTACGCGTCCATCAACACAAACCACTACTGGTTTCCTTAAGGCTGACTTATTGATAATATTCTTCTTACACTGGCTCCTCATATGTCCTTGCTCTCCACAGTTCCAATAACCTTTCTGGGTAGCAGCCTTTCCTGCTGTGGCATCTCCCCTGTGTTGAAGTTGCCAGCATTGAGCTCTCTTGTTCCCAGGTTTATCACAGTGCCAGCAAAGTCCCTCAAACTTCTCTGAAAGCTGACCTTTTCTGGCCTTGAATCCTGATGACTGAATCAACCTTGGTACCTCTGTGCTGGACTTAATGTAAGATTCAAATTCAAGAGCTCTGGCCATTGCATCCTGCATAGCAGAAGGGTGTGCTTGCTTTTCTTGTATCGTCAGTTGTGGACTGTCCAGTGCATCTATAAACTGATCCCTCAGCAACTACTTGAGGAGATTAAGTGGTGCAGTTGGGTAGGCCTTGTGTGCTATACTTTCCAAGTCCTGTGCCAGCTCTTGCAGGCTCTCCCCTTTAGCACGGACTCTCGTCCTAAACCTAGCCCTGTAGACTGATTTTGAGTTCCATACCTGAGTTCTAGCGCCGCTACTAGTGCTCTATAGTTGTGCCTGTTGTCTGCTGACAACTGTCCAAGTATTTCCAGTGGTTGTTCCTTCAAGCTCGTTGCCAGATATACTGCTTCCTGCTCCTCTGTCCATCCATTCATCTCTGCCAGTAGCTCAAATTGTGCTCTATATGCTTCCAACGGTGCCTTCCCATCGAATTCCTGTGGCTTCCTTCGTACTGGTTCACCCCTATTGCTGACATTCATATCTGGGATGTGACTTCTAACAGGACTGAAAATGTCTACATTAGGGTTTAGCTGCGGGGTCTGGAAGGGGCTTGCCATTGTCTGGGCTGATTAAGTCGATGGTTAATGTATCC